CTTTGACAGATGAGCAACACAATTAATTCATAGCTATTACATTTGCTTTATTTGCCTGTGCTTGTCCACTATTTTGTCTTGGTCCATGGTATTCACAACTTTGACTGTTTTGATGAGACTGTCCCCTAGGATTTGAACCTCCTTGAAAATTTCCCCTTCGTTCGATTGTATTCTCTACCTCTTGTATTGTCCTGAGTGTGACGTTTTTGACACTCATAACCTAAATGCTCATAACAAATAATCAATTTTTTATTAGACAATCCAAGATGCTGTCAAACTTAAATAAAAATGTCCGCCAAGAGGCACACAAACACTTTATTTTCTTGTCAAAGTCATGTGTTTTGGATAGGCGACTAAAGCTTAGTATTCATAACAGCGAAATTTGTTCTTTTTTGACATTGCTTCGACAATTTGACGTTTTATGCGTGAATCAAACGTCAAATTGTCGAAGCAATATCAAAAAGAGCGAATTTCGCGGTTATGAGTACTAGGCTTAACTAAGGTGCTGTCAAATCTAAATTAAAATGTCCGCCAAGAGACAAACAAACTCTTTGTTTACTTGTCAAAGTCACGTGTTTTGGATAGGCTAATTAGCATGGAATGTCATTTCACTAGTATCAGCAGCTGCCGGATTCCATTTCACGAGTCGAGTCGAAATTTGTATCGAATTGTCAAAATAACTATTCTATTCTTCGATTTTTCGATATGCATCACACGGTACGTACGATATCGAGTGTCATAATGGAGAATTCGAGTCGTGAAATAGAATCCGGCAGGCTTGAATTGTTAACTTTTAAGTTTCATCTTTTCATCTAATAACCTCGATTTCACAAAATCCATTTTGATGCTTGTACTCTTATGTAGTTCCTATATGGTTGTTATGGCTGATTCATATTCTTCATTTAAAGACTAACAATAAATGGCAAACTTTGTCTTCATCATCTAGTTTGGAACTTGCATGTTCTAAATCTCTTATCAGGGTGTCGAATATCAAAAAAATTTATTGTAATTTTTCACTTCTCTTGATCTTTAATGTGAGTAATTTACGCTTTAAAGTAAACACTTTTTCTCTCGAATATGTCTTCCAAGGCTTTCATAATTTTTTTTGTCGTCTTTGCATCCTTGACAAGGTCCGAGTGTTTATCAGTTAAACACTGGACTATTATGCTTTTTCCTCTTGTATCATTAGTTTTGAACTCTGACTTCTCTTTCTCAATACCAAAATCAGCCTCGGTTTTTACCAATACTTGTGCTATTTGCCTCTCTTCTAGTAATGTGATAACTTCAAATATCCAATTGTTGAAATTTGTTGCACTGGTCAGCTGGGGAAAATTTAACACTGCACTAGCCATTTTTCTTACTTTTTACTGTGTTCTTATACTTATCCAATCTTCTGGTGATCTGGGCTCATAACCTGTTGCAAATATTCAATTTAACGATTGTGGAAGTAGATTGGGGATACAGTAAATCCTTTTCTTGTTGAGCAACTTTTTTTATTTATTACAATTATTAAAATGATACATACATTATGACAATCACAGAACATGATAAATGGGCATAAGTAACAAATTGACACATTTCTGGTATTGTCAATCATATAACATAACACTTAACATTTCTTCTTTGTACATATGATTTTTAAAATAAATTCACACCACATGTTACATCAAATATCATTATTTTTGTCCTAAATTCTGTATCCACTTTTGATAATTAACTATGAACATCAAAAGACCCCGTACAAACCTTGTGGAGAGGGCCTTTCTGTCGAATTGACTTAAAATAGGGGAGTAGGTAGTAGACCGTCAGATAGTGACATATTTAGATGCCCCATTTTCGCATACAAGCCTCGAAGAGGGTTGAAAAGTACATCGATTTTGAGTAGGATGAAGATATTTTCACGAGTGGCTCCTGGGGATAACATATTATGGAAAATTCGATTTTACTTATGTTACCCTAGAATGTACTTTTCCATTCGCGACACTGAAGCCAATATGTTTTCTTGCTACCAACTTTGTAGATTTTCATCCTTCCGATGGGCTTGTGTGGAAAAATCGCCCAAAATCTCGATTTTTCTTTACAAGATTACGCCCTTATTTCAAAACTTCAGCCACCTGCAACACCCCCTTCTTTGTTTTCACGAAGCCAGGATTTATTATTTAATCCTTTGGTGAACACAGCTTGCGAGAAATTATGGGCACCAGGACGTCTTTCATTTCTGTTATGGAAAATCGAATTTTCATCATACATTATCCCCACGAGCCACCCGTGAAAATACCTTCATCCTACTCAAAATCGATGTACCTTTCAACCCTCTTCGAGGCTTGTATGCGAAAATGGGGCACCTAAATATGTCACTATCTGACGGTTTATAGGAATTGTAATTAGATTGAAAGTGTTCACGGGCACAGAGTCCGGAGTCCGGCTATGGCTAGATTCCGAGATATTTGAAGTCAAAATGACATATACAGTTTGCGTAAAATCTGTTTTTTTTTTTAAGATAAAAGTCAAAATGACATTATGTTGGCAATACAATGTAAAATTGTCAATGCTTTCAAATTTTTTATGTAGAAAAGGCTTGTGTTGCCAACATAGTTACTAAATTTTTGACTTGGGGAATTATCTTTAAAAAAAAAACAGGCTTTAATAGCTTTAAAACAGTTATGAACTATGAAAAAACGTACTAACATTCCCTAATAACGTATCATTTGTTGGTGTATAATGGCGTTCCGAAAAAGAATACCGTGTTAAGTCTGCGACAATCTCCAGATATCACGCATAACAACGTTACTTGCTGGTGATGATAACGCTTTTCTACGGGATATCGCTGAATGTACTATCACAAACATCTTCTGATACTTGCCTTATATGTAATTGGCACAATGATATTCACCGATTATCATTAGACTGTAGGATTGATATTTAAAAAAAAAAAAAACATATACCGGGTGGGCCACGAAAAACTTTCCACCCAGGTTTTCTCAGGTGTTAGGTGTTTAATCAAAAATCGCGCAGACACGTCAATTTTTGTTTTTTGGAGGACACATTTTATTGGTATTTTCACCCCCTACCTGTGAACCCCTAAGTGGGGGTAACAGGTACCCCCAAAATTTCAAATGGAAAGAGGGGTCGAGTGGATTTGTCATTTGGTAGCTATTTTCATTGAGATTATATTCCCGAAGTTTTAAATTGCTACTGTTAACCCTGCCGAAATGGCGGCATGTCAAAGTTAGGATAAATGCTTTTTTTCGGTAATCTAAGCTGTATAGTTTTTACCTGTCACACCTATGCGTAGGTAACAGGTAAAAACCACACAGCATTTTTCCATTGATTTTTCCTAACTTTGACAAGCCGCCATTTCGACAAGGTAAATTTTAGCAACTTGAAACTTAGGGGATATAATCTTAATGAAAATAGCTATCAAATGACGTATCACTCGACCCCTCTTTTCATTTGAAATTTTGGGGTTACCTGTCTTCCCCACTTGGGGGTTGACAGGTAGGAGGTGAAAATACCAATAAAATGTATCCCCCAAAAATCAAAAATTGACGTGTTCGAGCGATTTTTAATTATTCACCTAATACCTGAGAAAACCTGGGTGGAAAGTTTTTCGTGCCCCACCCTGTATGTCCCAAGAAAATATGTGTGTTGTAGACATCAGGATTTTTTGTGCAAGGTCTTATGGAAGGATTGAGATACTTATATCAACAGACCTGTATTATAAATGGACAAGAAATGCAATCTTTTTTGCAAGGTATACGTGAAGAAATAGGGCGTAGTGCTTTACGTAGGTACGAGAACGAACATGGAGTGTCTGACTGTCTGATGAAGAATTTAAAACACTTTATTCCATTACGAAGGCTGAATTTTAACGACCTTTTCACTTACTGCGATCCAGTGCCGGTGGGAGAGGGATATAGGAATGTCAGCAAGAAGGATCTTCTATGTTCTCTGCGCAAATTAGGACAAGGCCTGAGTCATGAGTTTTTACACGTTATTTTCCACTATTCTTCGAGACAGGCTACAAGTATGCCAATATCTACAGTGAGGCAATCGCTGACAGGAAGATTTGTTCCCGAAAATATCGGCTTCGAAGCTATTACTAGAGAAGAATATATAGAAAGACAGGTAACACCTTTCGCAAATCGCTTGTATAACCCTGCGCCGCAAAATCCAGAAGCGATTGCGTATATTGATTGCAGGTATCTTGATATTGAAAAAAATACTTGCTTTTAGAGTCTTGCGTTCATCCTACTGTGGCCATAAGAGTAAACACCTTGTTAAACCTTCTATGATAGTTATTTCTGATGGATATATCCTCGACATTCAAGGCGATCTCTTAGAGGATAGAATGTTAGTGTGATGTATCTATCCACAATTTTTTTCAGCGTTTTGTGCAGGAGCGAGGGTAAACATATAGGTCTAGGCGTTTTGTTTCAAGCTTACTTGTAGACTACCTATAACTTTGTACTATGATGCTACAGTAATTTCATTGAAACAATCGTTAATCCCTCTTTTCTATAGTAGTACCCTGGATTTAAATTGCCAAACAATAATTATTTATCTGTAATGACACTGACACAAAGAATATCTTAGTAGTACATATTTAATTTTGTCCAGGAAAACAAAAATTTAGTGATAATAATAACCCCTCCCTCTCTTAACACAACACAGTATTGTATCGTACCGTTTCTTTTGCTAACCGCATGCAGTTCCGAATCGAGCGGAGACGGCGGCGCCCCCAGGGCAGCGCCGGCGACGTCCGGCGGCGCTTCTGCAACCACCGCCGTCACAGCTAAAGGTCACGTTAAGTCAGCGTCGGTCAGCAGTAGCGCACCGCCCGACGCGCCTAATACCAATGCTAACGATCCTTTGCGTTCTAGGTATGTAGGAATATAGGGCACATAAAATGTACAAAATAGGTGCCACTGTTGTCGTCTTGTTGGTGTTTGTTGCTAAATGTATTTTTTGGAAATATTTACTAATTGAAATTATTGTAGTCGTACGAGCGCAACTCCTACTGCTGCCAGGCAACAAGCCTTCCCTAGAAACACTTCGTCGAGGAGTACCTTCCATGGGGGTCAGACAAGGAGGACGCCTCAGTTTACGCCTGGGGCGCCTGGAGATTCTACTCATGCTAGGCAATCGTTTTTCGCCAAGTTTAGCCTCAAGAGTTTCACGAAAAGGTAAGAATCGTTGCTGGGTGATGGTAAATTTAGTTTAAACAAAATGAAGGTGGAGGTGGCTCTGTATTTATTATCCATTCACAATCAGATGTACAGGTAAAATTTATCGCCTTTCAATGCTATTTGATAGGGAAACGTAATAAATTTACCTATACCTATGGACATAGGACTGTGAATAGGATATATAAGTTTGATTGTTACAAGGCTCTCAATTTACCTAGAAGAAACAACAGGCATTAAAAATATTCTACAATATATGAATCAACAAACAACTGTATTTCTACTTCAGTAAAGCTGAGAATAGAATTATCTTAATTTGTAAGCCAATCCAAATTAGTCAGAAACGACTCTAATATCAGTTGGATTCTAAAATTTGGCGCTAAAAATTAAGTTTCGTACTCCTCTATAGTTCAATTTCAGATTTAGTATGGCCAGGAAGGAGATTTTCATGCATCTCTGATTCTAATTTATGTTTCAGGAGAACTGGTTATATGATTTTCAAGCTTTTTCAGTAGAATTTCAGATCTAGTAGAGTCAAAAAAACTCGACTAATTTTTAACTTTAGAAATCACACACACAGTTTGTCAATTTGTATCCTAATAGTAGAACTTGGGATGAAATTTTCATAGATTTCTAGTTCAAATATTAGATCTAGGAGAGCCGATAATAGGAATTTGAAGTTTTCTCTAGTTGAATTCTAGCTCTATAAAAGGCAAAAACCCGGGTTTTTGGAAAGAAGATAAGGTAGGATACATTAATCAGTTAACAATGAACGGACTCGTATAACTCCGGCCCTTCAGGTTCGTATAACCTCGGCCCTTCGAGCTCGTAGTTAAAATAATCCCAGCTTTTCAGGATCGAGATTTGAAAAAATATATATGGCAACACTGCTTATAACACAATACACGTCAAAAAATTGACGTTACAAGATGGCGTCTTTTTGTTTCAAAGATTACGGCCCGAAGGGCCGGAGTATTAAAATCAGTTAACAATGAACGGACTCGTATAACTCTGGCCCTTCGGGCTCGTATAACCTCGGCCCTTCGGGCTCGTAACGTAATTAAAATAACACCGGCCTTTGCAGACTGGCAACACTGCTCATGATACAACAAACGTCAAAAAATTGACGTTTCAAAGTAGGCTTTGTTTTCTTTAAAACTGAATACAAAATGGCGTTTCTTTGTTGCCCTGTGGGCTCAAGATTGAAAAAACTCTCGCCCTTCGGGCTCATGATTTTAAAAAAAAAGACGCCATTTCAATCCTCTAGCGTTACAGTGTTGCCAAAAGTTAAAAATTTTAGTCAACCTACTCAGCCTACAACATCATAACAATCGTCTCTTGATGTCAATCGCCATTTGTTAACGTTTTACAATTACAAATGCCCCAAAATTACCGTTAAAATTTGGCAACGTTGCTGCTGCAGGCCTCAATCTGAATCACAAGGCTGTCAATTGACAATAAAAAAGTCATAACAATCGTAGGTGGCCCTGAAAATTAACTCGTTAATTGTCAAAAGTCATAACATTATATGTAGGCTTGTCAGTTGTAAAAAAAAAAAAAAAATAGTGATTATTCCAGGTGTTTGGAGAGTGATTTGCATCATCATAGAAATTAATAAAAGATGACATGCGCGCGCAACTAGTGGGTTGCAGTGTAGCCAGTTTGTATTTTGGCAGAACAAATCTAGACAATACAAATCGAACATTAGACCAATAAAAAAGTGATTTTTTACAAGGTGTTTTACAACGTTTTAAATCAGACAAAAGAAGAGCTTTACGGCTATTTGCACCGCTACAACTTAAGGGATATTTAATCCCAGTGGAGCTTTGAATGTGGCTTATGTAGAAACAAAAGTCACATTCAAAACCCCACTTAGATTAAATTTCCCTCAAGTGATAGCCGTGCAAATAGCCATTAAAGTGTATGTTAACATCGCTTGTACTTTTATTTTGATTTCATCCGGCAACATCGCACAATGAAAGTGCAAAGGAATATGTCAAGTATAATTTGACATAATTTCAAACAACGTTGCGGTGAGTTCAGCAGTAATACATAAAGTATTAGTTTGCTCTTTGTCGAATTACACGGTAGAAAGAAAGAAGGAACGATTAACTCTGAACTGGTCCTGCAGCCCACGAGTTGCGCGCGCAGTCAAGGTAAAAAAGATAGGTCAATTGACCTTTTGTTTGGACGCTATATTGCGGTGCGCGAACATAGTTGCCAAAAGAAGAAAACAGAAATTACTAGCAGGCTGTCAACTAGATATTTTATTATTTCTATTCTGCCCAATACAAGCTAAAATTGATGGCTTTTCTTTTCAAAAACATTCGTAATAGGCGGCAAATTTAAATTTTAAATGTAATTTATTCACTAACTTTGGATTTTAAAGTTGACAGAACCCTAGTATTTTTTTTTTCTACTGTTGGTAACTATGTTCGCGCACCGCAATATGGCGTCGAAACAAAAGGTCAATTGTGACAAACTGAGCAGTATCCTTCTTTATCTCGTTCTTTGTCTTACTCATTTAAAAATCGCTTTTGGTTTTTTACTAATGTATCCTACCTTATCTTCTCTCATTTCCCATTGATCTCCGTTTTTCTATTTGCAATTTCGCCAAGTTTGGTCACATCTATAATTTCCTCCTTACTATCTACATAGCGATCTCCATCCAAGTCTTGTACTCAACAGTTAGCGTAGCTCGAGCGGTTTCTGTGATTTTATGTCTAGCACTGTTTATATCTTGTTGAACAGCAGTTAAATTGTGATCCCAGTTGTTGACGGGGTTACCTCTTGGCATTCCTACAGCAATATTGAATAGTCTTATTTCTTTTTCTTGGAAGAATTTGGAGAATTCTGAAGAAGTAAACGTCGAGCCAGTATCACAAATAACTCTTCTTGGATTTCCATATATTTTAAATATTTCATTACGCTCTTGAATGACGTAATATAATATTGTACATTGTACTGGGAAATGCTCTTACAAACAGAAACTGTTTGTACAAAGAGTATGTTTCGACAAAAGGTGCTATATGATCCATATTGTGGGGTGTGGAATGGCTTCGCGTGTTTGAGGATAGAGTGTAGCAACCCTGTTTTTTTTTTTCACTAATACTGTTATGGTAAAGGCAATTTAAACATGAGGCGATATTTTTTTTTAGGAAACCCAGTAACCAAGCGTATTTTCTAGGGCAAAGTGTCCAACATCATCATGGTTTAGTTTTACCACCTGCCATCTGCATTTCTTTGGGACAACCCACTTTCGACCTCTCTCTGTTCTTCTTCTATAAATTCAATTTGCTCGAAGATCATATTACTTGAAAATCATTATCTCCTAAAAAAAGGATTTCCTTTATACTGCGAATTTCATGATCTTGATCTTGAGCCTCTTTAAGCCAAGTCCGCCTCTGATATCATTAAGACATTGAAGTCATCAGTTGTCGTCGACGCATCAGAATTACGACTTAATGCGTTGACGTGTTGAACTGCTTCGATTTTGTCATTATCTACACCTACATTTCCTTATCCCAAGGAAAGTAGGACTTTTTCTAATAATTCCAAACCTTCCTGTATTGAATTCGACGACATGATAATGTCATTTAAATATGGGACTACTCCAAATTCCCGTAACGGCTCAAATATTTCAGTCATCATTTTTTGAAAAATAGCTGGTGCATTAACTCAAACCAAACGGAACCCTTAGTAAGTATTCATAGAGTCCTTCAGGTGTTTCAAACGCCGTTTTATAAGTGGTCTCTGTTTTCCTAATCAAGGCAGATCGTAGTATATTGGTAGTCGGTGGTGTATGGGTCGATGTGTTGCGGGATTGAATTTGAGGGAGGCAAAATTTTTGGTTTTGTCAGGTTCTTGCGCTGTCTTCTGGAAAAATTTCAACGAGACTTCGTTGAAATATTCCAGGATGGTGTCTAATTCCGCCAGTCTGTGTACTTCCACTGTCCTTGTATCCCAGGGCATCGAAAGGGCGATCTTAAGCACCCTGTTTTGGTACCGTTGAAGTTTAAGTTTTTGGGTGTTGCAAATGTAATTCCAGGCGGGTGCCCCATACAGCAGGGTTGGCCTGATGATTTGTTTGTAGATGACAACACGGTTTTTGGGACTGAGGACGGAGTTTGGCTTTATTATAGGGGTAAGGAGTCTTTCGGCCGCATGGCCTTTTTTGATAGAGTTTGCTACCTGAGGGTAGACCCGAAGCGTTTTGTCCAGGACTATCCCCAGGTATTTTGCCGATGTTTTTGGGGCGATTTCCATGCCGCCGATTGACAGGGGAGGATTCATAATGATATTCGTCCGTTTTCTAGTTAGTGTGAGCAGCTCCGTTTTGGTGGGGTTTAGGGTTATTTTCCACCTCTCCAGATACGGCGTGATCTGTTCCATGTGCGTCTGTATCGCACCGACTTGTGTATCAGGCAGGCAACACGTTCTGTTTGGCCGCAGTTTAGTCCTGTTTTAAAAAGACTATTTTGGGACTGTAATGGTTTATGGTCTGATATAAGTCACCCAGTTTGGATTTGACACTATCACAGTGGATGTGCATCCAAACTCAAAACACTTACTAACGTACCTATTAACCATTCCCGAAAAAAAATCTTCCTGGGCAAACTTTCCTATAGGACTGCAGTCAGGTCCAGGACTATTACTACTAGTTATCTTGAGAAAAGGTCCTTCTGATTTTTACTCTTGTATCTAAAGAATTGTTTGATTAATACCTATTAGTTAATTATTTTACCCTTACGATTTTTATTCTAATACAGATAACAAAAATGTAAAAAATCTCAGATTTTGGATTGATATTTGTAACTATGGTAGGAATGAGTTCTGTATGAGTGGGTTTTTGACATAAAAAGCCCAAATTCCACTGTGTTTTTGTCAATATTGATGGGTGGGTCTTTGTGTCAAAAGCCCACTGGGATTTTGAAATGAGTATGCCAACCGTGGCTCTAGAATGGCCAGAATTCAAGTTCCATACTTCTCTAGTTTAATTTTAAATCCCGCATAGAGCCGAGAACGAGATTTTCATGCATCTCTGGTCAAAAATATAAGAGAGCTGGTAATTGTACTTGAGTCTCAACCCTAAAGGGTTCAAAATTGTTGATTCATACATTGTAGATTGTAAAGACTTATTTTAATGCTTGTTTTTATTTCTCAAGGGTTTTAAAACGTGTCAATGAATAATTAATGAGAGAAAATGTGTATCGCTTGACCAACAAATTGAAAATGCTTTAAATTATTGTGCTTGAGTAAACTTAAACTTACTATTAGGCTATACAGACAATTTTCTATGTCGATAATTGTCTTTTTATCATAGAAATTTTAATTTGGTTAGTTTTGCTTTGCTAAAGGTTGTTGGGTTTATGTCATCATCAAGTATCATTAAGTTATTATCAAGCGTTACATAATACTATACTTTTTAACATACTAAATAATATGCATGCCCTAATGAAAGCGTTATTTATTTGGTTTAGAGTACCTAATTTGAACAATCAGGCATATGATGTATCCTGTCCTGTTATTTTAACGGCTCTGTTAAGGCTCAACATCTAGTTCCGTCTCTATTTTGACGTATAGAATAAACAGTGACAGATAACTTAATGCTGCTCTTAAAATAACAGAAAATGATACATCATAGGCCTGAATATCTCATATAACTACTAACAAGAAACCAATAATAGATAACGCCTTCTTCAATGTTTATTAACATTAACTTGGTGTAACAGTAGTTTATGTTGTAGATTATCTTTTAGACCAAAATTGTGCATGTATTTATAAGATATAGCTTTTTTATTTTTCTTCAACGAAATCACGAAAATCTATGTAACGCTTTATAATGTCTCGATGTCATACGATCTTGGGGGATGTTTACTGTGTGTGCGCGCGAGTGGTTAGTCCCTTCGATTAATAATTCTTATATGACTCAACCTTGTTGGCTATTTGCAATCTATTATAAGTTGTAAATAGCGAACAAAACGGACTATATCCCTATTTTCTGGTTCAGGCATTGACGAGGGGGCCACACCACCACTCGGCGCACCATGGTACTACCGCAACCGGGGCTTTTCCGATGGCGCGACATCCCCCTTACCTCCCCGCAAATGGCTCACGTGACCTTGAGGATAGAGTATATAAATAATTAAGATTAGAGACTTTCAATCAATTGTTTTTTTTTTGTTTAATCTTGATCAGTACAATATATTTAAGACTCATAAGTCAAGTTGTTTTTTTGTTTTATAGACGTAGTTGATGTGTTATCTTATTTTAACCAAAAACTCATTTAAATGTTATTTATAGGTAGTTTTTTTTAAAAACAAAAAAGGCCATTTTGTTGTATTATTAAGTAAATTAAATATAAATATTATACGTTTTAATTATTTATGGTTTTTTCTTTACAATAATTGGTCCATTACTAAAGTTTCTTGCATCATTCGACCTTTTTTCGTTGTTATTTTCAGAGCGTTAGAACCCGGCCAACAAGTTAAGCACAGCAATTCACCTTTACCTTCCGTGGGGTAAGTTTTCGCAATAACTTTAACATTTTGTTAAGTAGGTACTTAATGTTAGAGGCATCGGAACAAATTTAGATTGGCTTCTCATATTTCTTGAATCGTAGTCTTGAGGAAATTACCTCCTGTCAATGATGTAATAATAACATATAACAGACGATTTCCTACAACTCCACAAGCATCACTTTCTTCATGTTCTTTCAAAGCTTTTTCATATCTGACATTGATATAGTAGGGTTAAATTTGGAGAAATCTTCATATCTGCAAAGTGTCAACGACACATCACCAACAACAGATAATTGTGGAATGCTGTGTTCCTTGAAACAACTGACAAAATAATTATTGAATATCAACGTTTTCAGATTTTTCCATTACTTCCATTAGATTACTTACTGGCAAATACTTACTTTGCCATAGTAGGTATTTGCCAGCGACTTATTCCCAGTAATTGAAAAAAAATAAGATATTTCTATAGGCGCCGCTAATTTGGAGATAGAAAACTCATATTCTCAAGATTCTTGTCTATGTAGTAAAAATGTCTATTTAATCATTTCAGCGTTACTGGTAATGTCGGTGGCGGCGTAGTAGGCGGGGGCGGCACCCAAAACGACGAACACATCAAGCCCAGATCCTTAAGATTCACTTGGTCAATGAAGACGACTTCTAGTCGAGATCCTGCCGAAATTATGGCCGAAATCAGAAAGGTAATTTAATTTATTTGATTTATATGTATCCTATTCACAATCCGTAAAGGTAAATTTATCACCTTTCTCTATCAAATAGCAGTAAAAGGTGATAAATTTTACCTTTACCTTTGGACATCGAATTGTGAATAGATAATATATGAACATTATTAAGAAAATTGTGATAATTTTAGGTGCTGGATGCGAATAATTGCGACTATGAACAGCGCGAGAGATTTTTGTTATTGTGCGTCCACGGAGATCCCAACACGGACAGTTTGGTCCAATGGGAGATTGAGGTTTGCAAATTGCCCAGGCTGTCTTTGAACGGTGTTCGTTTTAAGAGGATTTCTGGTAAGTAGATATCATTAAGCTACGACTTATAAGCTTTCTTATTTTATTCGAGGTAGTTTATACAGGGTGTCCGGAAAGTCAACGATAATACTGAAAGGTCTGATGGAGCAACTCATTAGCATCCAGAAAAACATAATATGACCTTAGTAGAAAAACGATGGTTTCCGAGATATTGTCACTTTAATAAAATTCGTTAAAATCGTCCTCTTGGATCAGATTTTCGAGTGTCACCCTAAAATTTTCATTATTCTTAGATTCTGAATTCAATTTTGCAATGGTGAATAGACATTTCATTTATCACAGACTACAACATTAAAAGTCAAAGTTCAAAACATTTACTAAAAATTCCTTTTAAATTGAATACTTCTGATACTTTACTTTAAAGAGATTTTTCAATAAATTTTTTGAACTTTGACTTTTAATAATGGTCTATGACAAATGAAATGACTATTTACCATTGCAGAACTAAGTTCAGAATCTAAAAATAATGAAAATTTTTAGGTGACACTCGAAAATATGATCAAAAAGTACGATTTTAACCAATTTTATTAAAGTGACAATATCTCGGAAACCATCGATTTTTTACTAAGGTCATATTATGTTTTTCTGCATGCTATCAGCCCTTCCAGTATTATCGTTGACTTTCCGGACACCCTGTATAAAGGATATTGTCTCATGATGGGCGTTAGGACTCTTATAATATAGGATTTGGAATCTTTTGAGCCTAATTTTTTATGTTAAATCACGTGATATTTTTGGAGTATTATGGGTTCTAGACTGTATGTTTACTTAAGTTTGGGCCTTATATAGATTGTATACAGTTTTTTGATCATTTGGCTAGAGTGATTGCCAAGCAAAACCTGTTCTTATTGGGCACACCAGCTGATTTGCCTTCTTCATAACTTGCCTTATGTGCGTTTCCTATTTTAGATCGTGATATTGTTTTGTTCCAAGTAAAGGGTCTTTTTGCTTATGGAAAGTCCTTTTTCCTCGCTCTAGTTTTTGATTACATATATTCAAAGCACTTTGCATTCAACCTTCTCTGATTATTATCGCCAGATCATTTACGTAGTCTAGAACAGTTATTCTAATGTTGCTTAGTCTAGTGTCACACCATCTTTTATTCGTTATACCCACTTACACCGTACAATTTTTCTGTCTTTATGAATATCCACTAGATCACATGCATTATTGTCTTCCATTGATTGCATTTCCTCATCCATAGCATTCTTCCACTCATCACCATATTCACTAGCTAAGGCTTCTTCTCAGGGTTGGAAAAAACCCGGGTTTTTTTTTTAAAAAAAGTTCAACCCGTCGAGTTTTTTTGAGTTTTTATGGGTTTTTTCGGGAATTCCAGGAGTTTTCGTTTTTTTCTTCAAGCAATTATATAAATTCACACTTAGCATCAGCGCACTGCACCACATCTCTGGCTGGCCAGCCCAGTGACATGTAGAATTGTACATATCGACAGGATTCTATAGACTCGGCACATTCGATTTGTCGAATTCTTAAATGGCACAGGAGTCCCTGTTCAGACCTCCACGCCAAACGCAAACAGCGAATCGCCGGGGACTGGAGAATCATAGGAGAATCCCTGATATTTCCTGTGAAAATGACGCTTGTTCATCTGAAAATTTTGAAAAAAAGCCAAAAGACCCAATAATGACATGTTTTATGAATTGAAAGAACCCAAACAACCCCACTGGGTTTTATAACCTGGGAAAATTCTATGCCAACCCTGGTTTCTCTAAGGATTCATTGTAGCCTGATCATCAGCAATGACATCATTGATTACTTCTAGTTAAGACTCAACTGGAATTGTTTGTTGCTTTGAAATATCAGAAGTAGGCACTGTAGTGTTTTCTTTGTAGGTATTTTCAAAAAATATCACATCTCTAGATTTCATTATAAGACCTGGATTCTCAATATCGAAGAGTCTACTATATCCTTTGATTTATTCATAGTAGCCAAGAAATATATATTGTTTGCTCTTAGAATCCAATTTCTTTCGCACATGGTTAAAAATGTGTGTATGCGCAATACAGCCAAAAACTTTTAGGTGTTTCAAATCTTCTTTCTCACCTGTCCATTTTTCTTGCGAAGTTGAAGCTTGGACACTTTTGTAAGGAGACCAATTTTTCAAATAAACAGCTGTATTCGTAGCTTTTGCCCATCTTTTTTTTCTGGATAAGACACCTCGCTTTCTCAATTATTATTCGGTTTGGCCTTTCTGCAATACCATTTTGCTCGGGCGTATAACTCACGGTTAATTGATGTTCTATGCGCTGTGATTTTAAATAATTTTCATAATCTGTATTGACATCCCCGGTGCCATTATCTTTCTAAGTTTCTTCAATTTTTGTCCACTTTGGTTTTCTACCAATACATGAAAGTCTTTAAAACACTAAGAACTTCACTTTTTGATTTTAAGAAGTAGATAAAAATCTTCCTACATGTATCTTGCTCCACTCCATGATGAACCGACATTGGACCACACAAATCAGTATGGATCAGCTATAGTCTTTGGCACGCTTACCACCTATTTTTAAAAGTCTGATCACCTTTTTATCCTTGTTATCAGCAATACCAGTAGCCGAATCTCGTCTGAGCAAAGACATACTTATTCTGTTCAAGGGTCCCAGCTTTCGGAGCCATAATTCTTCCATATTTGCAGTTTTAATCAAATATGTGCATTGATTGACTTAAATCTAGGTGGTAATTCCCATTTTTATTGAATACAGTTGCTACAGTATTTCCTCTAACTTGAAAATATTCACTTGTCATTATATCTAGTAACCTTTAATGTCAAATTAACATTTACTGCATGACTTTTTTCCACCATTTTACTCACCGATAGCAAATTAGGTTTTAAATCTGGAACACACCACATAATGTAGAAATAATCTTAGAACCATTTTTCGTAAAAACTGTTGTATTGCCGACACCAATACTACTCAGTTTTTGATTATTTGCTACCAAAATTTCACTGTTACCTTTGGTAATGGAATCCTAGACAATCTTCATTATATGACATGTGCAAAGTTGCCTCCAAGTCCACATACTAACTGGATGTATTTACCAATTCTCCTGGGGCCTTATTCTTGAAGCAGGGGAGCAGCGTTCTCAGGAGAGCCTTTGTTACTTATATTATAATTTGCATATCGTTGAGAAAGACGGAACACTCGTTCTCTTGGGAACGCTGCTTCCCTGTTTCAAGAATAAGGACCATGATGCTATGACAGTATGTTGTGCTTTTTCATGCTTATTTTTTCTATTAGTGTGATTAGGATTACATTTTTTCTTTTCATCTTCGTTTTTATCACGAGTGATATCACTTTCTTTAGTACACTGATTCTTGAAGTGACCACAGCTAAAGCATTTCACATTCTTCTTATTAAATTGCTTTTGATACTTGGAATACACTGCTGCCTTAGACTTTTTTTTTCCATATCTGTCATCTTGGAGAAGCTAGCCTTCATGAAGTCACTTGTGATTTCAATAGCCATTACCGTTGGATCATAGTCTGCGGTTATTTTGCTCAATAATATTCCTCTTAGAAACCCATCACCTACTGACTGACTCATGTCACTTAATTTTTGAGCAAATTACATAGTTTAATTTTCGTATGCCTCTATAGTTTCGAAGCTTGTCTTGCTCGAACTAAATCACGCAGTAAGGCTAACCTTCTAGAGTCTAACCCAAGTGACGCCATTTATCAATGTTTAACCTACTCCGGACTACTTCAACTAAACCCAAAGCCCTTTTCACGTGGCTCCGGTTTAACAAACTGCAACATACCGCCCAAATTCGAGAGGTATCGATGACGTCATTTTTTAACCGGGTTAGGAATCGGTATGTCATTTCTCTAACTAGCTAGGCGATATGGCTAGAACCATTGAGGTGTTTGAACAAAAAAAATAGAAAATTTGTAAACAACGGATAGCGGGAAAATTGTAACAGGTGTAAACTTAAATAAAAAGTTGTGTGTTTTGTTATTTTGAAAGATTCATCTACCTAATCAATTGATAAACATGCAGTTGAAGTTAAAATAATAGGGACTTTTTTTTCAAGATACTCGTGAAGTTTTGGTGCAGTTACTAGAGCGTACATCAGTCTATTATAAATATTGACAGGTCGTTGGATTGCGGTGTTTCTTTTCTAACCGTTCGTTTTCAAGTGGCATTCTCAATGACGTCATCAGTTGACATACCGCTACTTACCTTTTTGTAACCCGGTTAGTTTAAACCGGAGCGACGTGAAAAGGACTCAAGTGACGTTATTTGTCAACCTAGCGGGGGCACCTGAGTCTTGAAATTTTTCGATACCGTGGGAAAAATCTCTAGATCGGCGCGGCGGCGCCTTTAATCTGAAATTTCAGAGATTTGACCCGGGCCAACCTCAAATTTTTGGCGGTTTTTCCCAGAATTTTACCGCAGCCCCTTATCTCATGGTGTCATCTTCAAACCGTAGTTATCATCCATTCGGGGCGTATATTATTTAGGTACCGAAAAATCGGTGTGTTGAATAAAAACACACACACACACACGTTACGATAAAATCTCATTTATTAAATCTAATTACATTGATTTTCCTTATAATAAGGTAGAACATTCTAGACAATAAAATACCAAAAACTACAATTATGGTTATTATACAAGTATCTCTATCCAGTGTCTTCCTACTCCTGCGTTATCTCTGGAGTTGAACAGAGCATTACATCCGAAAATCTATCCGAGCATCTTCAAACAACCCTTCCCCATATTGTTCGTCGATTTTTAACTGACACTTTCCGTATGAAGAGCGAGGGGGTGTTTTATATGGCAAAAACAGGTGTGACATCAGGTAACCATTGGAGTTCTAATGTAGGGAGCCACCAGCTCACATTTTGTCCGAGTATCAGATTAAAATCGACGGACAATAGATACTGTAAGCGAATCGTCTCTAGATCAACAAACTTACCAACTATGCTAATAAGAATAATAACTCCGGATGTGTCA